GAGTAATCATTCTGACTACTCCTTCACATTCTGACTATTCCTGACACATTCAGAATGATTACTCCAGGCATGAACGCACACAGGTCATGCCCCTAAGCCCTAAACACCAACTAGTATGACAAAGCTAACGACGTAATCCATACACGTCTGTGGGAAACAAATTCATTCGCGCGGCATACAAGCCGTATCGACCGCAAGCAGAGAAGAAGGAAAATGACTGCGTCACACTCTTATGAGATCTATAATCACAAAAGGATACATTCTTTTTACATAAAAACTATTAAAAAGGCACAATTAACAGTACAGAAACCATCCTGAAAATCTTGGCCGATGGCATTGCATTTACAGTTTTACACTAGGGAAAAATACAACATTTCGGGTACCAAAATTACTCACCATATAAGCCGTATATGTGTAAGGCACAATTGTTTGCTTAAAAATCAATTGGAACAGCAAAACGAGACGTATAATCTAATGTGGCAAAGCCCACACACTATAAGAAGCATGGGGCGATGCGGGGAAACGCAATCTTGGCGCCGCAGTGTCGAAGGAGATGTCACAACAGGCTGTGAGTGGATGCTAGATAAAGCATACAGCATGCAGCATGCAGGGTGCAGATCAAGCATGCAGGGGAAGCAATAGCCCAAACCCACGGCTAAGGTTCCCCGAGTTCTTGCCGAGTTCTTGCGCATTGTGACAGCCTAGACACTGACCAGATGATCTATGACATCAGGGCCAGAATCGGACCATGGAGTCGAGCCAAGTGCGGAAACGCTTATACCCCACCATATTCGGTAGTGTAATGTAGCAGTTGTAATACTCACCCCACCGTATTTAGTATGGCCGGTTGGCCAGAAAAGGGAGCTATAGCGAGAGGTGACGTAGGAGAGGGAACGCCGTATAAATAGAGAAAGCCGCCGCCTCTCGGGGATCTTGTACCAGCCACCCGCGGAGAAAGGTTTAGTGTGTAGTAAACGCTCTTGCTTTCGGTAGTGTACTGAGATGGTATGTGTTTCGCTGAGTATTTGAGTTTGTTACGTTGGAGCCACCGTAGTGTTAATCACGTGAGTTTCCCACAAGCACTTGCGGCTCTCGTGGCAGATTACTTTGCCATATTTGTGGAACAGCTGTAGTTTTTCATCTGGCAGCGAAAGGATGAGTTGAGTCTCGTGGNACTGCCACAAAGGTCTGTTCATCAGAGGTTTGGTTAGGAGTTAGGTTAGGATATGCTGAAGACCGCATTTTGTTGTTGTTCCAGCAATTTCTTCCAATCTATCGCTAGATGACGGCCGATATAAGATACATTAGATGTGACAGAAGGAGAAGTACTGCCCACTAGATGGCACCACATTCACACATGTTGTCATCAGGAACTTCAATAAACTTACACAGCAAACTCTGGATCTCCATCTAGCTGGTCTCCGATCCGCCCGAGACAGTTCGCGATTTTAGTAATTTCGGCATCTTGTGGATCTGCAAGGAATTCCCGTATTCCACATGTAATCGCAGACACATGACATACAAATGACTCATTCGATTAACCGCACACAGTAGCGTGCTACATGAACCTTGGACTGGAGTAATCATTCTGACTACTCCTTCACATTCTGACTATTCCTGACACATTCAGAATGATTACTCCAGGCATGAACGCACACGGGTCATGCCCCTAAGCCCTAAACACCAACCAGTATGATAAAGCTAACGACGTAATCCATACACGTCTGTGGGAAAAAAAATTCATTCGTGCGGCGTACAAGCCGTATCGACCGCAAGCAGAGAAGAAGGAAAATGACTGCGTCACACTCTTATGAGATCTATAATCACAAAAGGATACATTCCTTTAGATAAAAACTATTAAAAAGGCACAATTAACAGTACAGAAACCATCCTAAAAATCTTGGCCGATGGCATTGCATTTACAGTTTTACACTAGGTTAAAATACAACATTTCTGGTACCAAAATTACTCACCATATAAACCGTATATGTGTAAGGCACAATTGTTTGCTTAAATCAATTGGAACGGCAAAACGAGACGTATAATGTAGGCAATTTTACCATTAACCCACACATGGCCACTATTGGAACTATGGCACTATGGGAAGCATGGGGCAATGCGGGGAAACGCAATCTTGGCGCCGCAGTGTCGGAGGAGATGTCACAACAGGCTTGTAGTGGATGCTAGATCAAGCAAGCCGGAACGCGGGAGGAGAAGCAATAGCCCAAACCCATGCCTAAGGTTCCCCGAGTTCTTGCCAAGTTCTTGCGCATTGTGACAGCCTAGACACGGACCAGATGATCTATGACATCAGGGCCAGAATCGGACCATGGTGTGGAGCCAAGTGCAAAAACGCTTATACCCCACCATATTCGGTAGTGTAATGTAGCAGTTGTAATACTCACCCCACCGTATTTAGCATGGTCGCTTGGCCAGAAAAGGGAGCTATAGCGAGAGGTGACGTAGGAGAGGGAACGCCGTATAAATAGAGGAAGCCGCCGCCTCTCGGGGATCTTGTACCAGCCACCCGCAGAGAAAGGTTTATTGTGTAGTAAACGCTCTTGCTTTCGGTAGTGCACTGAGATGGTATGTATTGTATTAGAGATTGAGTAAACACCGGTGAACGTTACTTCTTGTCTTGTTTTATCTCTAT